CATATGAATGTGTCATGTACGAAATATTAGAATATATATCTTTGGTTTCTATTATCATAGGGCATGTTCTCTTCTTTAAGTGAGACAGAAAGAACAGAAAATGAAAAGGAACAGAGGTATTTAAGTTCAGAAAGATAACCAGACGAATATCATCCGCATTTCTCAAAACATAACATTTGAAACTGCCAGAATAAAAGCACGTAATAAGTCTGAAAAGCAAGAAGGCCTTTTAACAAGAGAAAAATAGGTTTTGTCTTTGAGGAAGGAGGTGAGAGATAGTTCTTGGGAAAAAAAATGCATCATCTATTTTCATTACTTAGTAGTGTAATGACACAAAGCATTTTACTGTTTTGAATGCCATACAATTATCACAACACAAAAATTCCATTTGGAGGGTATCAAAAGCAAACACACATACACACACACACACACCACAAACATATTTCTATGAAGCAGAATGCGCTTTCATAGTAGGTGCTGTTTCCATTGTTCATGATAAGTTTAGCTTAGGATTATGAGGAAGACTTCTTGAATGGGCTGGATATCCTCAAAGAGGAGCCAAGAAGGATCTGGGGAAATGGGCTTAGGTAATGATCTGATCAAGATTTATGTTTAGGGTCCTTATGATCAAAGAGGGGATGTGACCCTCCCTCATGACCCTGTCCCTGAGGCATAACTGCAGAATCAGACTCCACACTATAGTTTGAAAATCATTGGTTAGAGTGACTGGCAAGGAAGCCAGGCTTCTCTAGTCAAAGATGGAGCCCCTTTCCTGGTAAAATTGGGTGACCTCATGCCAATCCTCAAAATTTCTCTTGGTTATTTCCAATAAAATAATGTGGAATGCAAAAGTATGGGGCCCACTGACTATGTGAATATATCTCAGACAAACTGAAAGTGTAGCAGAGAAAGAATTAGACGTTAAAAAGAGGAAGAGGGATACATCGTTTATAGGATGTTTGTAAGATACTTAGGAAATATAGTCCATTAGCCACTGATATTCTAGAGTTCACACTTGCCCCAAAATCAAGGTGAGGAACTAGGAGGGAGCTCTAACAGATTGGGTGTTTCTACCTTCCTTTTCTTTCCTCTCTTCCCTGCCATCTTCCCCCTCAACTGTTCATCTACTGATTCCGTTCATCCCCTGATTCACTTAGTATTCATTTGATAACTAATAAGGGTCAGGAACCACGCTGGACACTAGAAATGAAGCAAAGAATAAGTGAGACATGCCACTGTTGCCACTAATTTTACACTTTCCTGGGGGGGGGGAAGTGACATTAAATAAAAAAGTATCCAGAAATCCATGCGCTATGGGAACATAAAGGTATTTTCGTCTAGTTACAAGTTCCAGGGAAGGCCTTCATGAGGAAATAAAATTTAAACTTAGATTGACAGGGTGAGGAGAAAAGGAAGAGAGAGGGCTGGGCAGGTGGCAAGTACGCGAGCAGTACTCCAGGCAAGGGAGCAGATATATAAAAGCCTATAAGTGAGAAAATCAATGAAGACCAGTGTTACACTGATACAATGATATTAAGATTTCTTCTAGTTTTATAACTTTTCCACTAGATGTTATTTCATTACTCTATCCTTTTCATCATTTTTTTTTCATGAAGCAATACAACACTAAGGAAAAACTATTCACAGAGGTTAACTTTTTTCAGAGATAGCAAGGTAGTGGGAAAACTAGAATTAACTTTTACTTGAGAGCTGGCTAGGGATACAGAATGGAAACTAAGTGAGGGATTACAGGTAGGTGTGTCTGGGAGAGAGTAGCATATATCATGAGGGCAATAAGGAAAAATATGGAATTTCTTCTGTGGCCACACATATTCTTTGTTCTCCCCCTGACATCCCCCCGCCCCATGCAGTTAATGGATTTGAAAAGAGGGGGAGGGTCCACAAATATTCTAGTAATTATCCATTTCCAGGATGAAAATTAGATTTTATCCCATATGCCAACCCCCCTTCGACTGGTTGCTTGGAGCTGGAGCACCGAGTTGAGAAGTATTCTGGGGCCTGATGTTAGCAGAGGGTACAATTACCAATAGCCCTATTTATGGAAGCGGGGCAAGGCAGCAAGCACGCTGTGTGTTTCCTTGTCTAATACAGATCACTGAGGGGCACCTAATTTGAACTGGTAACTTCCTGGCTGTAAATGCCAATGCTGCTGGATTTTTCCCTATCATTTGCTCATTTAAAGAACCTTCCTAGTATAAAGTCCTACTCTTATGTCTTTGGCATCCAAAATTCCCTTCTTCTGTTTAGTAATAGAGCTTTCCTCCCTGTCAACCACATGTTAAAAGGCACACACATGGCCACCCAGCTTAAGACTACATTTCCCAGAATACTTAGAATTTAGCTGTGGCCACATGGCAATGTTCTAACCAACGGAATGTATGCAACTTCTGCATCACTTACATAAAAAGAAATCTTTTTTTTTTTTTCTTTCCTCGTGGCAGGAAATGTGAACAGAGCATTGGCGAACCAACTCTGACCAAACAGACTAATATAAAACATGAGAAGACTTAATGTTAGAGCAATAAGGTGGTCAAAGAAGCTGTGGTCTCAGCCACTCCCATGGAGCAGTGTTTCCTTCCTCCCCTGACTGCCCGCCTCCTTCTGTATTACAACAGGAGATAGAAATAAGCCTCTCTCTGGTTGGAGCTTCAGTATTTTTAGGTCTCTGTTACTGTAGCTTAGCCAGAACCCAACTAATTTACAAACTCAAGGGCACACAGGGACCAGGAAGTCCATATAACCCAGTAATCATCTAAATGACTGCTCAAGGCTGAAGAACAAGTGCACTATGGAAAGCAGCAGCCACCACGGCTCTGCTCTAAAGCTGCCACCTGGAAACGCAGGCCTAGGGCTTCCAACCCTACTAATTTATCAAGAAATCTAGATTCGCAGAGCTCACACTATCATTATCTTACAATATTGTTAACAATATTGGCAACTAATCCAAACTTAAAAAACAAAACAAAACTGCGGGTTAAGCAAAAATGCCTCTGTGTCAGACTCAAGTCTATGATGGCCAGTGTGTGACCTGTTCTGGATTACAAGACAGCATTGAATCGAAAACACACAAATACACCATCATCCTAAGAACTGCTTTTTTTAGCGGGGGGCTGGGGATAAATTTCCCCCCAAATACACTGACTGCCAGGTAGTCCCTGATATCAGAGACATTAGAGGTCAAAAAAAACCGGACGTATTTTTAGGATTGGAAAAATTAATGTGTTTTAGGACACAATCCTGAATATGAGAAACATTCCAGTTCATGATGATGACAGTGTAACATAATGAGCCAGAATTCCTCAATCACCCTCAACTCTGCAGCAGGAAGTAGCTCATAAAGCCTGTAATAGCTACAGCCCACACAGTTACTAGATGATAATGAACTCAAATATCCCACCTCCATTTGACTGTCTGTGCTACTAGTAGTGGCCTTTCATAACATATCTTTTTCTTCATTTCAATGTTGTGTAGCCGCTCAAAAAGGCACTTTACAGGGGACTGATTCCACGTTATCTGAACTTAATAATTAGGCAAAATAAATGCTTGACACAAACATATTTAGCTAATAATTGTCACTATGAAGTCATTTCAGCCACATCACTACCTTGTAACCCATCAGGATCATCAAACGTAAACTTATTTCTGAGTTACCAAACAATTATGAGGAAAACATTTATAACATCTTCCCCAAATATCTAATTATACGTCCCATTGCTGGGTTTGTCTTGTGTTGTGTTTTACATCAATAAGCATAGGCACACAAACATCAGTGTGAGGGCAGTAAGGCTGTGACATAATACAAAGCATTCTAGAATACCCCCCAGTTCTGTGGCATATGATGCTCCCTGGCTCCCTGACCAATGTTAGAGTCAGAAAGTGGCTGCAAAGCTTTGTCTGAACCCGATGCTCCTTCCTAGGTAGTCCTCTGAAAGTCACATCCGGTGACTGGTTCTGAAAGGGCACTATAGAGTATGATGTGTCTCCTTCTCATACTGGACCATTCCCTGAACCTCAATGGCACTGCCCTAGACCATGATTATCTGTTTTTGTTTGTTTGTTTGTTTGTTTGTTTTAAGTAGGCTCCATGCTGGGCGTGTAGCCCAGGATGGGACTTGAAATCACCACCCTGAACTGAGATCAAGACCTGAGCTGAGATCAAGAGTTGGGTGCTTAACCAACTGAGCCACCTGGGCAGTTCCATTTACTTTTTAAATGACTCAATTTATAGAGGAAATGAAACATTTATAATTCACTTTTCAAAATGGGTCATATGACTTAAATAGTAAGAATCAAGACACAAATAAGGAATTTCAAGTTTCCTTATTCCTTAAAAGACTTTCATGGAGCATCTGGGTGGATCAGTCAGTTAAGCGTCCAGCTTCGGCTCAGGGCATGATCTCGCGGTTTGTGAGTACAAGCCCAGCGTCGGGCTCTGTGCTGACACCTTGGAGCCTGGAGCCTGCTTTGGATTCTGTGTCTTCCTCTCTCTCTGCCCCTCCCCCACTCACATTCTTGTCTCTCTCTCAAAAATAAATAAACATTTAAAAAAAAAAAAAGGACTTTTGGGAGCTGGGTGGCTCAGTGGGTTGAGCGTCCCACTTTCAGCTCAGGTCATGATCTCACGGCTTGTGGGTTCAAGCCCCACGTCGGGCTCTGTGCTGACAGCCCGGAGCCTGAAGCCTGCTTCAGATTCTGTGTCTCCCTCTCTCTCTGCCCCTACCCCTCTCACGCTCTGTCTCTGTCTCTGTCTCTCTCTCTCAAAGATAAATAAATGTCAAAAAAAAATTTTTTTTTTTTAAATTAACAAAAATAAAAAAATAAAAACAAGGACTTTGATTCATTCTGCTGAGAGTATGCATTCAGTCCAAGGAAGCTCACTACTATGTATATTAAGTTTAAATTTGGCCTTAATCTTTTTTGGTATTTATAAGTTTACACCAATTGTTTCTGTAGCTTTCTGTTGTTGTTTGTTTGTTTACCTCTTCGTATATTCCAGTGCATTCATAGTAGTCTCTGGAAGGGAGGCCAAGTCGAGGCTGATCAATCTGTAAAAAATATACCAAGAAGAAAATAAACCATTCAGTTGATGTGGGACAGTTGGACAAAATACAAGCATGTCTATCTCTGTATGAGCAAGAGCCTAGTGTTCTTGCTGTTTATAAGGGTAACAACAGTCAGACAATGAGTGAATACAAATTAGGCACTGGTTTCCATACTACTTGGCAGTTTTACAGTGATGGGTAGTTAGGTAATCTGGAAGAGTATGCTGCAGGTATTTGAGGGAAACCAAAGAAACTTGAATGAAATACACCAGGAAGAATTTTTTAATGCAAAACCAAAGGTGCAGGTGGACAAAAACATGTTAGAATCTAGGACTTGGAAGTTTCTAAATTACACATTTACAGGACATTTGGCTTCCTGAGATTCTAATATGCTCTCCTGGAAGACACTCTCTTCTCCCACCCTTAATGGGGATGAGAAAAAACCAAAAAAGTGGAAACCTCTGTGGTAACTCTACAACTGTTTCTCTAGTGGAAATCTTGCCAGAGATTTTTTTTGAGATTCCCTACCCTGGGGGTGGGGGGTAGGGGAGACTCCTCCTCGGTTCTCTCCTGCTCTGCTCAACACTTGAGCAGACCCAGCTGACAGCAGAGTGTGTGAAAGAGGAAACTAGTCTCTGCTCGAGTGTGTCTGGTCCACCGGACCACCTGGAGAGCCACCTGGACACATGTGCAGCTTTGCGAGATTGCTTCCTATGCACCGCGTGGTTTGATGGGTACGGGGCAAACTAGGGCATGTATGGGTTAAAGTGAGAAACCCAGCAGCTGTAAAGAGCCCAGGACAATACAAAAGAAACAGAACCCAGAGGATTAGCATGGAAAGAGCCAGAAGGTGTCACCACAGATAGGGCTCTGCCCCCTTTCCAACCTCCCCACTCTCCCTAGGAAATCTCTTCATGGTGATCATGCAGGATGCTGGTACTGAAGAGCCAAAGGAGTGAATTCCAGAAGGGAGAAGGGGGCCCACTGTAGAAGACAGCTGGGTTCAATTCCTTTCATGATTTTAATAAAAATGGCCATAAAGATTTATACCACAGTGACATAAATATGAATCTGTGTCTTGCAACTTTTGGGGTACTTTCTTTCACAGGAGACCAAAAACAAAGCTCTGTAAATATTTTAGTCCATTCCAAACACACTCATTAAGTATTAATTTCATCTTAGGTGACACCTTAAGTAAACCTAAATGAATGGCTTACATGAGGGGGAAAAAATCTAAAACACTGATTTTAAAAGAACAGTATTTTATTTACCTTCACTGAGAAAAAAGTTCAGATATTCTTTAGTAACAGCCAAAACTGTACTCAAAATCCTTTTCTCAAAAAACAAACAAAAAACCAAAAAAAACCCACTCCCCCACCCCCAAATCCCCCAAATCCCTTTTCTGTGTCCTTTTGGGAAGCAATTGGAAATTTCTGGTTTCCAGATTTGCATTACTCATGTAAACCAAACTATGCTCCTTTCATGAACATATGGAGAAATCAGGTGCTGTTTCAAATTAGGGGGCCCTTTCATTTCTTTAATTTATTTTATGAAGAAAGCAGTATCAAACCTAAGGTAGCAGAAGGGAGACACGACCACAGCATTAAGAGAATACTTTCAAAATTGGGAATCCAGGTTTCAGGGACACAGTACAAATTTATTACTATCTTGCTCATGCAATTCAAATGAGAATATGCATTATTTCTAAATACCAACAACAACAATGTATGCAGAAATTTTATTAACAATTTAAAGCTAACTTGGCTGTCAGCCCACAAACTTACATGAATTATATGGTTCACAGAGTTCTTATCATCAGTGCCAACAAAAAAATTAAGAATGACTTTTTTCCCAAATTTAGAATTCAGCTGTGCAATAGATTTCTCAGCTGTCCAAGAAGGACCTAAAGCAAAGAAAGGTGAAGAATACTTTTAAAAGTTTCAGTGCATTAATGTGATACTATAATAACATAGATTCTATATGGAAATTATATTTTTAAATTTTTTTTTCAACGTTTATTTATTTTTGGGACAGAGAGAGACAGAGCATGAACGGGGGAGGGGCAGAGAGAGAGGGAGACACACAATCGGAAACAGGCTCCAGGCTCTGAGCCATCAGCCCAGAGCCTGATGCGGGGCTCGAACTCACGGACCGCGAGATCGTGACCTGGTTGAAGTCGGACACTTAACCGACTGCGCCACCCAGGCGCCCCTGGAAATTATATTTTTAAAAAAGAATGAAAATCACCTTACCATAGGTCTGCTCCCAGTTTTCTGTTGCTACGGGCCAATCATATATATCTGGTAGTAGACTGAGTAGAGGTTTTCCGCCTCTGCTATCAATAGCGGCTTTTGGAAACAATGAAAACAAATTCCTTATGAAGTCTTTGCATATTTTGGCACTCTCTTAATGAAATACAAGGAAGAGCACTTACATTCATTTATACAAGATCTGTACAGTGTTTTTGCTTTCTGCACTGCTATTATATCTTCAGTTTTGGGTTCCTGAAGAACATCTGAAATAGAGCATTGAGTACAACCCATCAATACAATTGCTCATTTGCAGCTGTAATTAACATTTGCAGTGCAGGTTCAGAAAAAAAGCTTGCTTTTGTGTATGTATGTTCACTCCCTCCCCATGCTAAAACCCTCCAGGAAAAACTAAACCCCCTACCAGATCATTATTCCTAGTGCAGAACTGGGAGTTGATTTCATTAGCCAAGTTAGATGAAAGTCTTTTTGACTAGATTCTCTTTTTTTGTGAACATCGACGTGTACTGCTCTGCCATACATAAGTTCCTGTTTTTTTAAAATTAAGATGAAAAAGAAATAATAATGCAGAGGAATATGGAATTTAATATGATAGTCTTCTCGATAGCTGGAAATAATTATCTTTGTGTGATTGTACTGTTCATGCTCCAGATGAATTGAATGAATTATTCTACTTGTTTGGATGTTCTAAAATAGCAAAAATTGTTTTTCTACAAAGTAACTTCTAGAAGTGGGGAACAGAAGACGGAGGATAGCAGAAGACTAGACAAGACTACCTCAACTTCCCAGGGAGAGTATCTTAGCTGGGTTAGAATAAATACCCACCCAGGGATATAAACGTCAGTAACATCTTCAACACAGTAATGGCTCAATATCGACATCAACCCAGGGCCAGGGTGGGAAAATATAATGGAGGTGGTGTTTGGTGGCAATCAATGAACTCATTTAAAATTTTTTTTAATGTTTATTTTTGAGAGAGGGAGACAGAGAGGCAGAGCCAGGGGGACAGAGGATCCCAAGCGGATCTGTGCTGACAGCAGTGAGCCGATGTGGGGCTTGAACTCTTGGACCACGAGATCATGACCTGAACTAAAGTCGGAAGCTTAACTAACTGAGCCACCCAGGCACCCCAATTAATTTCTTATTGTGTGAAATGGCGTAAGATGCCACCCTGTAGAGAGGACAGATTTTGTTGTATGTGCACCCACAAATGAAAGCAGGAATGCTGAGATGCCAACATATCCATTTCAGCGTTACCACCCTCAGAGAGACTTGGTGGTGAGCCACAAAACTTGGAGGGATTATCGGCTTTAATCTTCTGTGACATTCTCTGTAATGGCTAAGAGTTGTATCTTTAAAAAATGGATATATTAAGAGAGAAATCTTTGATGCATAGACACAAACTCCACTAACCTTTCAAAACGACTTCTAGTTCATCTCTTAAAATGTCAAAGTTACTGTAACGGGAGCTGGTCTCAGGAATGACGTTGCGTTTCAACCAGCCTCCACAGGCATATTTAAAAAAGTCTGTACAAGGCTCAGCAGTGGCATCCATGTTCTGGATCAGTCGAGCAGCTGAAAGACCAGAGAATGAAGGAGATCAAATGAAGGGTGTATTTCTTAAGTAGTTTGGAAGGGGGGAAAAGAGGCATGTTATTTCTCCTTTATGATCAAGTCAACTGCACTGATGCTCCTTTTTCTTACTTCTCTAATGGTCAATTGAGGAGGAATGATGACTCTTATCTATGTATAGTCCTCCCTTCCTTTGTTAGAGTTGGTTAGGTTTATTCCTGACAGGTCTCGGTCTTCCCATCCTACATCCCACCCCCACTTCCAAATAACTGAGGTTCTTGCTAGCTCCTATCTCAGATGACAACAAAGAACACAGGTCTGCCTTACCAGGCCTGAACCTGGGGCTGACACAGGCGGCTCTTCACTCTATTAATTTTAGCAGCTGACTCTACTTTTCAAATTTCTGTGACTTTTGAATGTCTCTGAGACTCTAAGGGAAGTGGGATTGTTCTTTGTTTTTTTATTTATTTTTTTTCAACATTTATTTATTTTTGGGACAGAGAGAGACAGAGCATGAACGGGGGAGGGGCAGAGAGAGAGGGAGACACAGAATCGGAAACAGGCTCCAGGCTCTGAGCCATCAGCCCAGAGCCCGACGCGGGGCTCGAACTCACGGACCGTGAGATCGCGACCTGGCTGAAGTCGGACGCTTAACTGACTGAGCCACCCAGGCGCCCCATGTTCTTTGTTTTTTTAAAGTAATCTCTAAACCTAATGTGAGGCTCAAACTCACGACCCTGAGATCAAGCGTCTCATGCTCCACTGAGGGGAGCCAGCCAGGTGCCCCTGTGGGACTGTTAATGCATTTTATCACTCTACTATTACTACTTCTTGGACCTCGCTCACAATATTTTTGCAATTCAAATTTGACATCCGATTTGCACTTGTTTATGTAGAGTCTGTCATTACAAAATCGGCTGTAAGCTCATTAGCTTTTCTTATGTCCACTCTTATCTTTGAAAAACTACAATGAAAATACAAATGAGCCAACACCGAGTATTTACAAAGTGCAAAACCCTGACTGTGCTAGGTGCTGCAGTTGATAGAAGGATGTATAAAATATGAATTACTGCCATTGAGGAGAAGGATAATATGCACAGGAGGCCCAACAGCCACAATTCCTACACCTGGAAGAGTGAGAAAACCCTCCCACTGTCCTCCCCACATTCTTTCTCATCCAAGTTGAACTGTTTTGCAGTAAAAACAAAAGACCAATTGAGAATTCATCTGTATCAAGAGAGTATAAGTTCTCAAATGAGCTTTTGAAAAGACTTCACTTTCTGAATTAATTAATTAAAAAACTTCAAACAATTGCTGAGCTGTGTGGATTCTTCCAACCTGGAATGGTTAAGTCTGTTTTGCAGCTCAATCTCAAGCCTCGGCTTCTTACCACCCTCTGGATGTGTTTGCCTGGCTGCCACTTCAGGCTCCAAGTCTTTTTTTTTTTTTTTTTTAATTTTTTTTTTTTAACGTTTATTTATTTTTGGGACAGAGAGAGGCAGAGCATGAACGGGGGAGGGGCAGAGAGAGAGGGAGACACAGAATCGGAAACAGGCTCCAGGCTCCGAGCCATCAGCCCAGAGCCTGACGCGGGGCTCGAACTCAGGGACCGCGAGATCGTGACCTGGCTGAAGCCGGACGCTTAACCGACTGCGCCACCCAGGCGCCCCTACAGGCTCCAAGTCTTTAATGCTGAACTACGGGTAGTCTCCAGACCATAGTCTGGACTCGTGCACCTTGGTACACAGCACAACCATCATCATGGCCTCCCGGGTTTGAACTTTGGGTAACGCTCTGTATTTCCCCCTCCCGCTTAGGTTATTGGTAACTCCTTTGCCTCTTTCCTATACTCGTCGTGATGAGTTTACATTTTCACTCCCTTTTGGCTAGAAGTCACCCAACTATTCATCTTGCTAATACCAACTCTCTACTTGTATATATTCCACATATCTTTCACAGATTAAACTTCCCCAAATACACTTTTGCGGGCCACTCTCTCACTGGAATATGGCAGTAGCTTGCCATTGCCCAGGTTAAATTACAAAATTCTTTAATTTGGCCTCTAAATCTTTACTAATCAAAAAAAGTCTCTACCTTCTCTTTTTTTCCTGTGTTTTTACTCAAACTCTCTGCCCCAACCAGACAGCCTCGCTACATGTGCCACAAACGTTCCTGTGTTTCTCTGCTGGGTGCTGGTGCTTCTCAATTCCTCATCCTACCCTTCTAACTTCTCTTCCCTTTCTTCCCAAATGCTGCTCACCATTCAAGGTTCAGCATGTGGCCCATCTCTTCCCTGAGGCTCCCATGACTCCATACTTTCAGGGAACATTTCTTTCCCTGAACTTCTGAGAGCTCATTGCCTCACTCAGTCCTTAATGCTCATTGTGGACACCTACACCATCTTCCTAACCATTCTGTTGATGAACTTAGCCTCTTTGCATTCCCATCACCTAGCACCTCATAAAAGACAGGCACAAATGGCTGTGTGTGATGACATTACTGAGTTATCTGTGAGTCCTCTTACTCCTTCCTCTGACACACCCCCTCCCCCGCTCCAGCACGTCAGACCAGTTCTCATCTCCTGGCCTCCAGTCCATGCCTTCTTTTCAACGCCCACTGTTTCTGCTCTCTTTTGGGCCCTCCTTCTTTTAGGATCTATCCATGCCCTTTTGCCCAAGTTGTGGCCCCAGGCCTGTGCCCACTGCAATCCACCCTGTGGGTCAACTGGATTAATGTTGCCATAACATTTCAGCATGCCATTTCCATTCCGAGGTTTTCAAAATACTCCATCTGCATTTATAATAAAATCTAGAAAAAATATATAAATATACACCAACATATCATAAAATCCCCACCTGAAACTAATGTTAACACTTCATGTTAATTTTACATGAGTAAAAAGAAAACAAACAAAATCATAGATGGAATAAATGACTCTGGGAGAAATTTTAAAATAAATACAGACTCCACAGCATATTCTCATTCTGATGTGTCTAGTGAAGCTTCTCTCTCACTACTTCCTCACACACACCTTCTGTCCCAGTAAAATGGCTGCATCAGTTTGTGCTGTGAACACCTTACAGTTTTCTGCTTTTGTAACTTTGACCGTGTTGCATCAAGCCCTACTAAAATATCCTTTTTAATATTTTCATATTTAGAGATTTCAGGCATTTTCAAGGCCTCAGTTCAAATCATCCTTCTTCATGAAGGACTGTCCTCGCAAAATCTATATCAGCTGCCATCGTACTCATTTTTTTGTTGTTGCAAAAAAACATTACCTCCTCACCTGGACTGTGTAGTTCTGGTAAAGAAGGGAATGTGTTTTCCAGGTCTCTTACAGAGCCTAATGTTGCAGTGAATCAAAATTGGTCAGTAAAAACTCTTAATTTAAAACCTCAGGTAAAGATTAGGAAATTGATTTTAAAAAGATAGAAAAACTAACTCCCTTAAATGCTGAGGGAAATGAAAATATGATGACAGGGGAGGTGAAAATAAAGACCCCAAAACTTGGAGAATTATCACATTTAAAGTGAAAAACCAGAAAACTGGGGGCCTGAAAGAAGAGCTAACCAAAGATGGTCTAAGCAGACATTTTTAGCAATTTTATGTACCTTTTGTCTTTTAAAATACTTTTAAGTATTAAAAATGAGCATTGTAAAGGCAACTGCCATTTTGGGAGCACTTCTAGTTTCTTCCCTCCCTGGGGAAATGGAAGGTTTATGCCCCTAACATCACAAGGAGCAAGCAATAAACTCCGAGGGGGAAGAGCAGTGAACCAGTAATGAGTCAGTAGAATGAACAAGTCTTACTGCCTATTTGGAAACAGCACATACCCTTTTAAACACCTTGAACAAAAAGGAGGAGCAGTGAAGCGGCTCTATGCTCATGAGCACAAATCCACTGCCATGTGAATGCCTCTGTACGTCTCACTTCTCCCACAAACAAAAAAGGAGGATCCTTCCCATCTAGGTGGAATTCATCACCTGACACCTGGTTCAACTACCTACATCTGGAAAACAAACCAAAGAAGCAGGATTCAAACAATTTGTGAGGGCTTAGCAGGCAACAGATAGGAAGAGACAACTTTGCAAACTCTTTCCTGTGCCACTTTTCAAATTTCCTTTGACCAGAGCTCATCTGAGCATGGGCGCTTCCAATCACTTCAAAGAGAGCTTGCTGTCCTGGTGAATATTTTGGGGCCATGGGCCAAGGCAAGTCATGGGCTAGCACTTTTATGCCGGGTCTTTGATCAAGCTTCCTTTAATCTCTTATCGTGGGTTTGATTCTCATTTTGCACCTTACCATCCGGACCTCTGTGCTGACTTTTCTTTGAAGTCAGCAGTAGACCTGCGGGTAGAAGGCCTGTAGGAAACAGACGCTCAGCTGTCAAACTGGTCGTAATTGTTTTTATATTTTGCGCTTTGTTTTGAATTACTCAACCTCTCCACGCAGCCACACCTGGGCTCTTCAGATGTTTCCTTATCTGTGTGTTTCTGACTCCTGAGTAAACAAATGTGGTTTAAAAACAAATAAAATTATTCACCTTAATAAGTAGACATAAAGAATGATGTAGTAAAGGCAAAAGTATTGACACAGAATGATGCTGACCACATGTTCTTAAAGTGAAAGAAACCGTATTTATGCTATTTTTAAAAATCGACATAAAAGCACAGAAAGTCTAAAAGACATAGCAGTTACATCTGGTTGGAGGATTATGAGTGTGTTTAATTTTGTATTAGTTGCTTATCTTTATTTTCCAATTTGTATTAGATGAACATGCACTGCTTTTGCAATAAGAAAAAAAGCATTTTTAATTTAAGAAAATAGTCACATAAAGACAAGAAAAGTAATCTTCTATTAATAATGAGCTTATTTCTTATGAATGACAATTCCAAATGTTCGAGGCTGATAATACATGACACACCATTTTTTTTCCTAACTAATCTTCTTGTAACGTTCTCCTAACTTGCTTGACTATAGGAAATTTAAAACAAGCTCAACTA